TTCAAACACATATGATGTAACTGCGAAAGAACAAAAATTAATAATCAGCCATCTGATCGAAAAATTGCAGTTCAACCTTACGTAAATTGATATTTGCTAACTATAAATATTTTTACGATAATGTTTTTTTTATGAATATTTTTGTATATGAATTTTTTTCCTTTCATTATGCGTTACGTATATAATATTAAATATTATATTGAATTAAATTTATTAGTAAATTATATTAAGATTGGAAAATTATTTTTTAGTATAAACTTTTAAGTAGACTACACAGTTTTTCTTTTGAACTGATGAAAAATATTTGATAACTCTATTAAATATCGTATTTTATAAAATATATATAAGCACGTATATATATAAAGTTTCAGTTGCTTTGTTTGTTGTAATTCGAGTCAACGTTGTGTTTTAGTGTTATAGAGTTTCTTTTTTAATGCGAATGCGAAAAGTTTTTGTTTATCATTACGACAGTCAATTTATAGAGTGCAAACGTTTCAAGTTTCTCGTCACGTATTTTGTCATTTTCCGTAGGCCTTGGATGGCAACGATAGAGCTCGCGTTTGAAAATCCGGCTGCGCTCCGGGGAATATCCAATGAAGCACTACGTATTGAAGAGAGCAACGGCTTATCCCGTCTATCCGCGATATTCTCGTGTCCGTTTCCGTAATGTCCGCGTACCGATCTAAATTTTAAATGTTAGAAACTTGTATCCTTCCGGGGATTCCATGTATCGATACGCGGGAGCGGCGAGAGATGCGGATATCGGCGATTCGAATCTAGACGATATATTTAGTGCATTTTTTTGCGATATGTCGAGATAGGAACCTGTATACTTGATCCTGCCGGAAAATGAAATGATCGTCTTTTATGCCTGACTGTCAACTCGAGTTTACTGCAAAGTAAGTCATCAGTAATGCATTTTTCTAATACAGCTTTAAAAATAAACGATATATTAATAATACATATTTTTGCCCTACGATTTCATTATAATTGCAACGGTAAAGTGTGTTATTGCATTAAAAATCAGTTAGTAAATTTTTAATTGTTTTAATATTGCTGAAACAACTTGTGGTTGTAAAATAATAAATTGAATAATATTCAGATAAAATAAACGGTTTGCATGTTTAACAATTGCATGGAATGTAATTAAATGATAATATGCTGAATACTGTATTTATTTTATTTTATTGCGAGAATTAATAATTGCAATTCATAATTTTAACTACCTTCAGCATACGAATTTGAACTTTTAATTATTCAGTTAACCGCTTTTTCGATTTTTATATCTGACTTGTAATAATTATAACTGCGAGGACAAGAACATTTTGGATTAATATACGATAAACATTTTTAACTTCTTCAAAAATGAAGAACCGAAATGATTCTCGGTCAATTAAACTCTGAATTCTTTTTTGGTTGGAAGAAAAATAGAACAGTTATATGAAATCGAGATGTCACATTTTGTTAGCAATCGCGATACTGAGAGTCGAAAGTATGAGTGTGGTTCTGAAATAGAACCCAGTGACAAAAGGAGGCATTTAAGACGCGACAGTAAAATCAAAATCAAAGTTGTAATTGAAGACGAGATATTGCGTCTCTGTGTAGTCCGAGAGGAGATGCCGTTAACGGTAACCCGTGGCAACCCGTGGAGCGTCCCAGCATCGATCCGAGTTTTATCGAAGCGCTCCAGCCCCGCCCTACCTCTACGAGGCCACCCCCGAAAATGCGACTTTGTCGTGATAAAATCATCGACACGTGAATTATAATTGTAGCTGTTTTGACATCGATAATCGGTCCGCGAATCCAAGGATGACCGACCTAAACGCGCGCGGGGCCTATCGCTTTTTGGCCTATCGAGCCGAAAATGGGACGGGCCGTCCATTGGCACTAATTGCCTCTAACTGACTCTCGAATAGCGAGCGTGCTTACTCGAAACTGGACTAATGGCTCTTTAATAACCCTATATTTTATAAGCATCGCGTTTATTCGACTGCAAAATCGTATCGCGCTTGGTAGTCGATAAACGTCTGGCATTTATTTGAAACGACTGTTTCACACAAAAGTCGGTATCTACAAATTACGTGCAAGCTGTATATTATTGCGGATTGATCATGAGGTAAAAGAGAACGCTTTGTGCTTTACACTTTTATCTTTAGGGAGTCACGTGCTGTTTCCATCTCCGTGATAGAAACGCTGTCTGCCATCGTTTTATCGGTATTTCTTTTTCGGTAGTCGCGCGGTTGAGCCGCGTGGTAAACTGCAAATTACTCCTTTGCCGGGAAACAGGATGCGATTCGCGTACACGTGCTGCCGCGCTGTTCCTGTCAGAGTTGTTTTATGGAAACGGTAGTATGCTCGAAAGCATCGAAAACTCGTCGTTTTTTGTAGGGTAAAACGTGGGAGATGATAAGCGACGTCAAAAATATTTCCTGGAGCGTTTCGCCGGAGCTTTAACCGTTATGTCGCACTATTGTTACAACAATCCGAAAGCCTGTGCTTTATATTTTGATTTATCGCGTATCGATTTCGTGTATTAAATGTTTTTAGGTATATAAATCCTACGTTTACCCACCGTCTTCTGTTCTTCAATTTCTTTTATCTCAGCACTGCATTAAAGTGGAATACGGTACTATTTTATCTTTTTTTTATCCGAGCACACGTAAAAAGCTTTTTTTTGTGCTTGCAGCGAACGAAGTGGAATTAAAAGAGAGTCTGGTTTTCTGTTTGTTCGCCAATTGATTGGTTTCGTCGGTGTGTCAATATTTAGTTTCTTTCGTCATCTAACTCCCTCATTTTCGTTAGTTGCAAGGTAACGTTTTAGATTCACGTAATAGTGCAACGATCATAAACAATGAAACGGAAAAAGCATCGTGCCGAACGCAAAACTTGTTCCAACGCAAATTACTTCACGTACGTAAATTAATCGTTAATTGAAATTGATCGTTAATTGAATAAACACGTCGAATATATCGATATTCAATCAATATATTGACAAGTTTTGCGCATGGTATAAAATCCACGAATGATCTCGTATATCGTAAGAGAAAATCGAGTCTTTACTCACCTCCGTAGTTCGGCCTTACTCTTTTATCGTAACTGACGGAGAAGGAATCCAGTATCGCAGAGATGTTCACGTCGCCCAGCATACTGCCGCTGGCAGTTCTGTAAACGAATAAGAATTTCATATTTTACATTTTCCTTATAAAAACTCTTATAACTGCGTTCTAAAATTAGTTATATGTATAGAAGAATTGCAGTCTTTTTATATTTTTAGTATTTGTTTCGATTTAATTAATGAGATAAAACGGGGTAATTTGGATATGATTAACTGAAATTTTCAAATTGTACTCTCTAAATTTCTTGGAGTGAAATCTCATTCCGAAAGAGTTAAAGCACTGCACTATTGAAAAAATTTCAATTCTTGAATAAGAATGGCAGATTTTCACTATTTTTTGGAGATTTTTTTCCATTTGAAAATAATTTTATTCCGAAAAATGAGTGAAAATCTGTTCAAAAGTGCAAATTTTTCATTAGTGACAGTATTTTAAGTTTTGGAGTGAGATTTTACTCCAAGAAATTTAGAGAGTATTATAATATTGAAGTTGCATAGTGTATTTAATTAAATATATAAAATGTGCACTGTTGGTACAATGGTATGTATTTTGTATGTTTAATTAAATACTTTATGCGATCTTAATCTTTTATATAATTTCTAGGAAGTTTCTATATATACTTATCCAAATTACTTCGCTTTACCCTATTTTCAGTTAAGCTAGCTTGCGTGATTAAAATTTTTTTGAATTGCGAGAAATATATTTCAATCCGGATAAAAATTATCAAATTATTACAATTTAGTAAATCAGCAGTAGATCATTTTAACACACATTATATTTATAGTGAGTGCAAAAAGTTTGCGTACAGAAAAAATATTTTTTTTTTAATTTTATTTTTAAAAGCTAAACATCCAGCGAGAAATGTCTCATCAATATCGATACAATGATTTCATAAATTTGACGTTTAATTGATTATTTTTTTATTTATCATAAAGAATAAAATAGACTGTACATTTCTTAAAATTATATGGACAAAAAAGATGTGTATTAATTATAGAAAATATATTAATTTAAAAAGTGAAAATTAAAAATTTTATTATTTGGACGCTCAAAAAATATTTGTACAATCGAGAAATTTAGTTTTAAAATCAGGAATTTCATTTGTTTATGTTAGAACAGAATATATTCATTGTATAAAATTGTTAATTAATATTTATTTTCTACAAATAAGACTTTTTTTTATAACAAAATTCCTTGTATGAATATTTTTTACACACTATATGTAACAATATAATATAGTAGTATACAGTCTTTTTTGCTAAGAATCTTCTTTTGAAAACTTTTTTTTTATAAGTACATAATAATTTTATAACAATTGTAATAAATAACTGCATTTTATATAAATTATGAAATTATTTTAATAATAGTGAATTATTTTATAACAATACGTTGCATATTTTTTTAAACAAGAATTTTTAATTAATGGTATCGAAATATATAATCTTTTGTAAATTATGCAACTATTGAATCTTACGACGTCACAAATTCTTTCCTGAACTGATATAGATACTAGTATTAGCATTATTTGAAAGTTTGAGAGAAGATACTGTAACAGCCTGTATGACATACACGACCATGAGAGATAGATACGCCCAAAGGTTCGGGGTATAAAGTACAGAGTCTGTTCTTGACTTAACGGGTCAGTAGATACGGATGGTCTCGGTCAGCCAAACAAACGGCTCTTGAGTTCGCGAGCTGATACGGTTCCGCAGTACCTACGAGAGCCCGATCTAATGGCTACAACGGCGCAGCAGCCGATTCCGGTTCCACTAAGTGGAGCAACTCGATCCGAAAACGTTTTCTGCTTGGCTCAGCTTGGGCTGACCAAGACCATAATCACTTGGCGCGGTGTTGATTCCCGGATCACACGAAGCCACGTATAGTAACGTTAGTTGGATCACGCAATATCTTAGCGATATCTACAGACATTTCTAGTCGAAAGTACGAATTGCTGCATACTTTAGTCGAAACAATAGAAACAACAGAAATCGCATTATATAGGTGAACGTAATCTCATTTTACTTGCAATGATCTGTGTTTGGTTTGACAATTTTCCTTGTTCTAAAATTTTTATGATAAGACGTTGCATGGTACATTTTTTACTAAATCAAGGAATTTAAGTTCTATAAAATAATAGCACATTGATATGATAAAAGGTATACTTGTTGCATTCATTGAATTTTAATAAATTCAATTAGAAAGGTAAATTATATACTTATAGTTAAATCCAATTGGTCGAAATAATCGCAAATTTAATTACAATATAATCAGGAATCTGATTCATATGATCCGAATTCGTTTTGTTTGTATTTTTTATTGATGTTTTTCTTAGTATAATTACCGTAATTACTGTATCTTTTCTATTCCGACATAGATATATACAATAGATAAATAATGTTGAAAAAAGATAATAGATGGAAACATTATATTGATACCATGAATTCACTTATTATCCATCGCCTTAACAAAAGTGATTATTTTCAAGTATAAATGTTTGATGAAAGTCTTTGATAATTTCTGTTAATTGGGTTAATAATAGTGTTTCTTCGTGCGTGCTTGATTCGTGCGTTACTTCATATCATTGAGTAAAACAGATGTAAGAAAAGCCTTGACCCTACCAATATACATATGAGTTAGCAGAATGTTCGAGAGACGTATCGTACATCAGTTTGCGCGCATAGTCCTACAATAGAAGTAAGTAAACCTAGCAAGCTTGTAAAGTGTTGCACGAATTAGACTAATCAAGATCGTGCATGTTTGCCGCGTTCTATTCCACTGACCAAGATTCTAAGCGTGAGTTATACAATCTACAATGTGTCCCCGCGATTAGGTTCACGGGATTTTGTAATCAATTATAAATCAAGGAAATAACCGCTGTCTAAGTACCTGATCTATTTCGTGATTCAAAACATCAAGTTTTTTAGTGAAAGCCTCAATTGTTATTTTGAGATTGTATCTATTCCTTTATGCAAAACTAAAAATTTGGAAAATGAATAATATTACTTTAAAATTATTAAATTAAACAGAAAATATTAAACGCCTTAGACATAGAGAGAAGAAAAGAAATAGAAGAGTCATTATCTCGGTGCAATATATTATGCGCCAACTTGTTTTTCTACAGTCGATAATTTTATAATACAATGATAATATTTATATATCTACATATGCTTATAACAAATTATAATTAAAAATATATAATTATTTTTGTAGAATGATTTAGAATAAAGTGAAAAACTTAATGAACAAAGTATTTTTAGATGTTTATATGCGTCTCGGAAAAAGTTTTATTGAATAATTTGCTACAACCACCATAATCTAAATCTCGCGAAACGATATCTCATAACGAAGAAGCCAGCTCGCTGCCAAGCTGCGATAATAGGTCACAGGTTAGTTGTATCGATTGGATGCAGATATCTACTCTGGGAACAAGGTGCGAATAATACGATGTAGATGATATCGTGTAAATACATGCATGAAAATATAGATAAATTGTTTCTCGACACATTACGAAGAGTCATCATTTCCATACAAATGTTGTTTATAACGTAACAAAACGAAATATATTTCTATAAAATATCTTTTTATTGAAGACGATTATACGTAAACGGAATAAAGAGAAATCAGTAAATTGTTTTATTGTATTAAAAAAAATATTTAAGACTACCGCGTATATATTATATACATATCATGTTTATTATAATTAATTATGTTAAACGTTCATATTAATTATTCAAATACACAGATAAATACACAGAAAACACGATTTTGTTGAAATATCTTAAAATTTAGCTACATATAAATCCGAAAATTATTTTGTTGGACTGTTTAAATAATTATGCAGAATATTCAAACTGATTGCTAGAATGTCAAAACTTTGCAGCATTGTTCATCATGCTTGAGTTTCCTATGTAATTATTTTGATGGTCCAACAAAACTATTTTTAGATCTATATCTTGCTAAATTTTTATATATTTCAACAAAATCGTTCTTCCATACATATGATAAAAAAATAGAACGCTCAATTCAACAATATTTTCGTTTTTGTATAATTTATTTTATTAACGCACTGTTAACATCAATCAAATGTATATCAATATAATGGATGTGGATGCGTTTTTTTCGCTTTAAATAAATATTTAAATAGGCAGATTTTATTATGATATACTTTTTGTATAAACACAACGTAAAGGTTTTGCTGTTCTTCAATTTCTTTAATCCATTTCAAATCGAGATTTGGATCCATTTGCTTGCTCGTAAAAGATAGCAAAGGGCAGGGTATCCTTCATGAAGAAAGATAACATTTTCGATCGTTTGAAATATATATGAAAGATATCCTTCGAGGTTAGTATTGACGAAGCTGGGGAGAGGTTTTGTGGATGTCTATGTTCCAGACGAAAGAACGTGCGGATCTCTTTCACGGATCTTCAAGAACGCCGTTGGAGAAATGTCACGCCATAGTTAAGCGTTTCATGCTTCATTGCTCCAAAAGCGCCAGACAATGTTTTCAGAAGCTCGCCCGTTTCTTAGATCTTACGAGAAAGTCTCTTCTGTGCTTTGCAGAAATCCATTTTTCTTGCTATTCTATGTTGTTTCGAATTATGAACTCGACAGGGGTCGTGTTCCAATATACACTGCCAGTACTGAAAATCTATAGTGTACGTAAACTATAGATTTTCATTTTATTAGAAGTGTATATCGGGATGGACACGGCCAGTGTACAAGCTTTGCTATTTTCACATGCGAAGCGGCGTAATATTAAATTAATAACGATCGTCACGGATAAATATGTTCAATTGAAATTAGGTCGATTAATAATTTTATATCAAATTTTATATCATTCTAATTAGAAATTTCGATTACAGAAATTTAATCATATTCTCATAATTCTTTAATGCAATTGCAAATGTATTCCGCCATACTTAATATGTATAATAAATATCTCCCTGACTGTGATATTTGTCAATCTAGTGTTATTATTGATAAATTCCTCTTGATGTTGCTTTGATATTTAATAGTGCGAAATAGCAGAAATTTGGTCGCAGGTAGAGG